ACAAATGGAGTACACAACCTCTCAAGTGGCGGACCGAGGAGGAGCGGGGAGAGGGGGGGGGCGAGATGCCTTGAAATTCCCCTCCCCCAAAACTGACAATGAGATCACCAGGGTCGATAGCCTACCGGACAATCACTGAAACCAGTCCCAAACTAAAACTGCAGGGAGAGGATCTTGAGCGGTATTGTAACGACATTACAATACTGCTCAAGATTTTTCAAGGAAATCATCAAACTACACCGGAATTCACCGAGATCCGCGTCGCATCGCCATATCTTGGTTCACAGTTTGCGAATTTTATATCCAAAGGCACCGATCAACTCAGCTCGGTAAGACGTATTTTTACCGTACGTAATTTCACGTTTGGATATTGTAATGTACACTTTGTACAATACTGAAGCTATTACGACTATTATTATTAATGAGCCTCGAATGGCCACTTCCGCTTCCTACATGACATTTAAATTAGTTTCCTTAAAATTGCCGAAAGAGATGGGTTCCAAAATAAACGGGTTTGTAGCAAATTTCTACGATGTACAATTTTTCTGCGGCGTATTTGCTCGTCTTAGCTGTTGCAAAAAAAGAACTTGAGTGATACAGCTACTATCATTTGTAAGGGCTTTCTTCTAACTAGCTTTCATGGTATCATTTCGAAATGTCATATCAAAAAATCAGCAATACAATGAAATGTTTGCATTTCATCTCATTTGAGATCCATCACAGGGATTTTAGCTCATTTACCAAACGTTTGTTGACGTTTGGCTTAGTGGCCGTATATAACTGTGTATTCGAAAAGGATAAAGCTCGTAGAGCTGGAAAATCATGACCTTAGCAACGAAAGAAACAACCTTAGTAACAAAAGGAGCTTTTTCGCTTTTCTTTTGTCAGTTTCTTTTTCTCATTTTCAAATGATGTATACCCTCACTAATTTGAGATAATGAGTCCATAGAGGAAACGTGGCTATCACCACGAGTGAGAAATGACGCTATGAATTCCCGATGAAATGCCTTAATGAGCTCGTTTGCCAGAAGGTCGCCGTCAAAGCCTAGTGAAACGGGCATACACTCGAGCTGGAGCTTGCTCCATTTCGGATATCGTCTTACACTCACTGCAAAAGCAAATGAAAGGGGATCGCTAGCGAAAGAGCCTCGTTTGGAAATGGAAAGGTGGAACGGAAGGGGGAACAGCCTTTTCTTTATGACCCACTGAAAAATATACAGAGGCATATCCATACAAGTCTGGGTTTTTGATTTTTGTGTGGATAACTTGGCGAATCCTGCTTAAGAAGCAGCTTGTATGGATCAGTCGTAGCTGAGAAATTGTAAATTCAAACTCTAGCCCATAACGTACTCTCTACCGCTTGAGGACGCTGATGGCCCATCTGGAACGAGTGCGGTAATTTATTTTTTAAACAAGTTAAAATTTCAGCCTCAATCAAACCATTCCAGTTCTCTTGAAGCTTCAGATTTGATTTCTTTGGAGGCGAATTATCGTACTTTTTCTGAATGGACCAATCAGCGACCTCAACGGTGAAGTACGGTCAAGGCTGGAATTTTAAGTTGAAATTCTGAGCCAAGAATGATTGTAATGATTTGGGCAACATTCACTTGGGAAACGTGCAATCTAGGCACGTCTTATTTTTCTACATAATTGTAAGAGTCCAGGTGCGTAGATTTCCCTAGACAGTAGTTTTAGCCAAATCTTTTGAATTTTTTCTGTTGCAAAACTTGACAAAACATTGCCCTAGATATAGACGAGTCTCCACTTACAAAAACAGAAGTCACCTCTTTTCCCTGACTATCCATTCCTATTCTGCATCCGCCTACGATGGCTGTCAGAAGCATCTTATTCATTTAGAGCTGACGTGAGCCGTCGATGAAGCTGCGCCTAATTAATCCTGCCCGCAGATGGAAAACTGTGTCATTTTGAAATGAGATTTTTGATGGAGAGAGAGAGACTTCTAGAAGCCAGTGCACTCTGCAAGACCTCATAAGTAATAGGACGGGACGTCATGAGTCTCATGAAGTGATGGATGATCCATTCATTTATTTACATGTGTTACCTTATAAGAGTGTTGTGAGTAGAGTTCGAGGAGACAGCGCAGCCTACAGAAGGCCAGTAAAAAGTTTGAAAAAAACTGAAAAGAGAAAAAGGAAACAAGAATATTACATGATGATATGGGAAGCACTTGTTTGTCTAGGTCCAAAGACCGAGATACTTTTAGGAACTTGAAGATACAGCAGAAAAAAGTTTTTTTAGGTCTAGTTGGCTCTGCCTGACCAGCCTATATAGTGCGAACAAATGAGTGCAAGAGTTGTGAATTGTGGGCCGAACAGGTATGAGATAGAAGAGAGTTGTTTTATCACGATTTCGCAGATTTGCTTTTGGTAACTTCATGCATCTTTTATGAAGTTGACATGTTGCACTAGGTGCAAAAGGTGCGAAGGAAAGATTTAATAAGATTTTCATATTTTAGAATTTGGCATGAGACCCTTACTTGGAGCCAAAAAACGTGTTATTATTACAGAAGTGAAATACAGACAAATAAGCAATCTGACACTGATTAAATACCCTAATAAAAATAGTTGTTCGATTTCCTAACTCTGATACAGAAACGCAAGAGCTGTGTAGCGAAATTACTGATCAAAAGTTTTGCAGCATTGCTCAGCTTCTTTCTAGCTAGGTACAGTATTTAGTAAGTATTAGTAGTATTTAGTATTCATATCATTTGCAAGGGGGGGGGGAAGTGAGAGAGAAGGACAAGGCAGACAACCCCTAAAATTCCGAGATGCTTTTATTTTTATTTCTAAAACTCCTACAGCTTTGAGAAGAAGTTTGGAGGACCTAGATCTTGCATTTCCCTACAAAGCTGATAGATTATTGTAAAGCTTACGAATTACTAGGCTGTTGCATAAGTTCTGTCCGATTTGAATTTTTGAGTTTAAAATGTCATAACTTCTTTCAGAGTCAACTTTTTTCCAAGGTCTTAGTTTCTATGTGTTGAGCAGTCCTTGGCTAAAAAATGCATATTGAGATCTGCGCAAATCTTTGTTAAGGAAGAACCAAGAATGCAAAAACTTCGCAGCGTTTTTCTTCGAATCTGTCTTTTTTGGCATGGTAACGCTCCCTTATGAAAATTGATAGGCATCTTTTCTAATAATGGATGGATAGAGAAATTTTCGTAGATTATTATGCAACATAATAGAGCCCATAGGGTTTGCGCTGCCGAGAGATTTTCTTGACCGAACAAAAAATTAGCCACTTTTTGACCTCGCTTCAGCACATGTGTGCATGCCTATTTATGAACTACGAACGTTTTACAACTGACGTGAGCGCCGAAAAGGAACTGATGGATGGGCCCTGTTAGCTCTTGCTTTGCCCTAACACCTCCAACTTTGAGCTTATCAATTACTTCTATTCTCAGAAAGTTATTGCTTGTAAAACATCTGTGCAGAAAGTTAATGTTCGACTATAAATTTTAACAGCAAGATGTTTTCTTCATGGAACCGAACTTCTGCATATACTAGCATTCCATACCCTTATTCCGAAGCCAATGAAAGAACCTGACTTGAAGGGCGCATTGTGGAGATATCCTCGCAAGGACATATTTCTAGGGATAGAACGTACCTCGGCCATTTAGAGATTTTAGGCCTGTGATCTCCGTACACTAAGAATTTTATTGAATTCTGGTATGCTTTAGAAAGCGCAAGGAAAGCACTTTTCAATGATACCAACCGCATCGAATTAGAGATGAAATTCTCTTAGAACAGCTGCTTCAAACATGAGGCAAAAAAATCGGACAGAACTTATGCAACAGCCTAGTATATCCATTTCTACAATAAAAAGAGGTCACTTGCATAAGTGTAAACTCATTTAGATTTAAAACCTTCTGTCATTCTTGCATGATAATCAACTATGTATATCTACTGTCGTCCTTCGACTCTAAAAGGAAATTTTTTACGTGTTATTGCTCTTTTTGGACAACGAATGACCTAGCGACGGCCATAAACAATGAGTGGCGGAAGTTATGCCAGGTAATTCAACCTGTGCGCGATGGGACTTGCGCCGACAATGTACCTCAATGACATCAACAATGCACCGCCGTCACCACCCTTATTCGCTTGTCGAACCGGGGGGGGGGGGGAATTCGGGGTCACCCCGCGTATGGCAAGTGATTTGACTCACATCAAGGGGCGCTAGAATTTGAAGTAGAGCAGTGAATAGGCTGGTAATTACTGTAAATATTCATGCTATGGTCGTCCCATAAGTTTTTTCATATTCGAAATTTCAAACTGGTATTTCTCAAGAACTAGAGCACCGACCAGGCGGCAAATGCGTGCTGTATTTCTGAGTGAATAAGCTACATAATCACATGGTTATTTGCGAGGAACATAGAACCGTTACGGGTAAAGTTGAAAAAGTCAGCTCATTACTTTTCTCTTAATTTCTAACCATAAAAAATGCAGCCTTTGTACATGTAGATTTCTGATGGGGAAGTTTCCACGCGTAGCGAGTGGAAAATTCGCGGATTTGTTTTGAACTGAAAGAGAATCATTTTCGTTTCTTTGGGACATTTTTTTTATCTTGGCTCAAAAATTGAACGAGCTTGGCGGGAGCTCTAGAGAGCCATCTTGTAGAGTTTGCTTTAATTTGTAGAATGGTACTCCGCAGCTTATTAGAAATGCAAGAATAACTGGATTACGGAGAAATTGAGATATGAAAAGATTAATGGGACAATCTAGTAATACAAATTGAAATACTGTTATATTAACTCCAAATCATTGATTATCTATCGGAAACTTGGGGAGTATCAGTCAACCAAAAAAAAATTCGTGTCCAGGCTCAACTTACGGAAACTTCCCTTCCGCTCGTGGGTTTTTCAGGGGAATAAGAATGATTGGAAGGCCTTAGCTAACTAACAACAAGCTATTGCTCACAAGATTCAGCTCATATTATTTATTCACGGCCAAGAAATCCAATTGGTAAACTACAGCCTAGACCGTACTTGCTGCAGTACTCGGAGACGCTTTTGCTCAACTAAGTGCTCGGAGACGGTATGGTCCTGGATTCAAAATTGAATTTCTTGCCTGCGGAATCGTTTGGGCTGCTCCTTTCCCCGCATAGGAGTCTAGATATCCATCCATATATTATCAGAAAATAAATTCATGTGCTTGCAATAACATCGCTGATACGGTAGAGAGATCGTCTCTATGCAATTATGCTTACTCCCTATATTTTGACAAAAGTGTATTGTCATTTATATGCGTTACAAATTCTGTGGGAGTACATGTTTATCTTAGAATTAGTACAACAAAATGGCATATTAGCTCTCCTGCACTTTCGATCATGAAACTAAAATGAGAAGACGTTTCTATTTTCGACTTCCTATCATCAACAGAATTAAGACCAAATTGGGACTAAATATAGTTAGTAATTATTAAGACTCATAGCTTTTTTGCAGGTATTAAACGCAAGTAAAAAGCTTGTTGGTAAGTAAAAACCTTGTTGTTAGCAACTTTATAGACATTGAATCTAACGAGAGGCCTACGCAGTTTTGAATTATACGCTAATATTCTCAAATTTAGATGGAAATTGAGGACTTGGTAAATGCCAACCAATAACGTAGAAAACATGGCTTGACGTAATTTGAGCACGCTGTTAGACAAAAACAAACTGCACTGCTTTTCCTACAGATGTTTTTCAAATTTCACATTCTCAACGGGTAATGGGCCTGTGTGGTGGTTTCCTGTGTCCATGACATTCGAAATGACTTTTTCTCCTTATTGCGAACTTTAACTCGCGAATGACGTGTGATATTATATGGAATTGCTCCATGTGAAGGAAAAGGGATATAGTCCTTAACTATGGAACTAGCGACCTCTCTTTCAAAAGGACCTCATAAATTGTGAGTTCCTAATAGCAAAAAAACCCTGCGCTCGATTCTATGGAAAACTAGTTGGCAAACCCGGCTCCGCTCGGGCCTGTCAATAATATATCTGTAATCAGCATGCTCGATTATCCCCCTGTGTCAACTCCCAGCCTCGTAGCTCAAATTTTGCAAAAAATCGATAGAATTGATATCGATCGATAACGAAAAGTAGCCTATGACACGCTCCCTGCCCCGAAGTATATGTGTGCCAAATTTGGTCCGAATCGGTTCAGAAATAAAAATTTCTATTCCGCACATACGTACAGACAGACAGACAGACAGACATACAGACAGACAGACAGACATTCAGCTTAATATATAAGATAAGTCCCAAGGATGTTTTGAACTGACATATAATATAAAGGAAAATTATAAGTTTCCGTTTCGTCCCTTCCCTTAGACGGAATTTAGTTTCTGGACCCTCCTCCCCGCAATTCTCAGAAAAGAGAGAGGGTCTAGACAATTTTGTATCAATTTTCAAAGCAAGAATGTACTCATCTTATAGCTATAGTCTTCGAGAATTGGACAATCTTCTGTGTGTAGTGGAGGAAAAATGAACAAGTTATAACATGTTTGTTTTGTTATAATATCCTTATAATACATCATTTATAATATCATTCTCTAATTTTTGGTTGTTGGTAATTAACTAATTTGTATGCATAATTTATAAATTCACTAAAAAAGGAAAAAAGGACATAAAAGGTCTAAATGAGTCATGCTAGTAATTCACGCTTTATCAAGACATCTGAAGTGGAATTTAGTAAAGTTCGAGCCAACATATTAGAAATTTTTGTAAAATGTGCCACCGCCGTCCCCGAAATTCTGCGGCTTCAAACTCGCTGAGGATTCCTGAAATTTTTTCTAAAGCGCTTAGGCCGTCATTTATTTAGAGTGAATATCTACTGCGATCGCCACTGAGAACATATATTTAAAATTCCCATTTTACTCTCACTCATTTTAGTAGTCTTGGATTATCGAATGTCTGAAATGTTACAATGAAAAGAAGGTTTGTCGGAAACTGGTTTGCACTCAAACACCCTATTCATTGCTAGAACCAGTACAGCATCGAAAATCCGCAGTTATTATTGCCCATAATTGGTGGCCAGTTGAAAGATTGCCATTATTATTTGCAGTGACAAGGGGAAAGATAGAAAGGAGTAGTAAATTTGGAAACGTGAGGGACCGCATTTTGGACGGTCGTTCCGAAAGTTTTGTCAGTTTTTCGAAATGACCCTCAAATTCCGTACAGTGAAGAGAAACAAACATTTCAAGTTGTATCCGATGCAGAATTGCTTCCTACTTTCAGCTGCCGCATCCACAATGTGATCCGTTAGAAAGTGCCAAGATAATCGCTAAAAATTACAACACCCTGTTTTCACCATGTCCAATTTTCACTGATTTTCAGAATTCTTGCAAGACAATTTTGGAGACTTTGATAACCAGCGAGTAGGGCAAATCCTTTGCCAAATGGAGCAATTTCTATTCTTTTTGCAGCTATTCATTCAAGATTTCTTGAAATTAATTTTCAAAAGTCCTAAGTTTTGGAAAAATCGCATACCCTATTGCACCACTGCAAAATCTCAAAATTAATGAGGGTTTAAAACTTGATTATGACTATTACTAACTTTATAAACTAAATGAGCTATTTCCGTTCCAAAATACGAAGATTTCGAAACTTAGGGTTTTTCAGAGCGCACCCATGAAGTAGAGGAATACTGCGATTTTTGCCTCAATTATCGCGTATCTTTCCAAGTATAGACAGTTCCTAGAAAAGGTAAAGAAAGTTGCATCGAATACTATCCCTGAACTGTCTACATTTTTATGTTCTACGAGGTTAGAACAGGCGGTATAAAATTTGGTAACTTCAAAAAGTATAATTCAAAAATTCTGAAAGACAAACTACAGAGCTACAAAAAATAGCTTCAGTAGGAAAAAGGTTTGCCCTACCTGCTGATTATTAGAACTCTCCCAAAAGTCTCATATAAAAGTTTTGAAAATTAGCGAAACTTGAACATAGTTGAAAAAATATTATAACCTTCATCAATTATATCAGACTCCTTCAACAAAATACGTTGAATATGTAGCAACTGGAAAGAGGAAGAAATTCTGCATCCAATATAATCTGAATGGTTTCTTTATCTTCCTTGTACGAGATTCGAGGGTCATTTGAAATGCTGACATCCGATCGACCTAATATTACTATAAAAAGGATCCGGTGGACAGGGAGAAAGGGAAGAAGCGGTGGGAAGAGGCGGGGGGGGGGGGGGAGAGAGTAGGGGGAGTTGATCGGGAATGGGACGAGAACCTTTTGAAAGTGTATTCTAATTGGGTCATGATTGTGCAGACTTGTTTTTACTCAAAAAGAAATAGAATAGTTCTTATTTTGAAAATTTGAATTAGCTTGGTAAAAATTGTTTGGAGGTGTGATGGGTGCCAAGCTTTCTTGGTAACAAGTGCGCAAAATTGAAAAGCATTATAAAATTTTTCTTAAAGGCGAAGGGATTACATTTTCGGTAAAAAAAAGAATCAACAAAGAAGATTAGGGTACAAAATTCTCAGTTATCATTAGTGTACGGAACTTGTAAGAGATAGTTTTTCAGAAAAGCCAAAGCCTGCAAAAAATGATTGAGTATGAAATTTTTTTGAGGTACTACAAGCCCATGATTGAGAGTCTCAGAAAAACGAAACTTCTAGAGTTAAAACCTAGAGTAGGATTTCTTGAGGTGCTACAAGCCTAATCTCCTGAATCGTGAATGGCACAAAAAGTAGGACGAAATTATTGCCGAATGGAAATTAAGACAGTAGTCCCGTCCGAGATTGCAATAGCGCTATAAACCGGTTCTTTGAGTGGATGGACGAATATGAGTAGAGCTCTCGTCATCTTTCGACTGACTGACTCAAAAAGGATTCGCAGCCTTACGAACTTGCTTTTGTGAGTGTTGCGCGATGCAAGCTTAAGAGGTCTTGACTTCTTATTTTCTTGAATTACTTGAGACCTTGAGCTTGCACACTTCAATGAGCTTCATCGCCATTGTTGAAAAGTCTGAAGTCTCAAGTTCAAATTGGTTGTTTCGCAAGCACTTCGCGTCCAGTTTCTAGAATGTTGATCTCAAAGTTTAACGAGGGCACGATCATAAAAGTTTAAACTTGCCCAGTGCGAAAGCCGAGCGCACCTGTACCTCATTAAGTATGTGTTAACATCTGTTCAAGCAATAGAAAAGAAATTTCTGAACGAGAAAAACCTTCGAGCGCATTCAGGCATACCCTAGGGGTCTGAGATGTTATAGACGTCATGAAATTTTAGCTTTCTCAGAGCAATGTTCGCACATGATACAAACAATTTAGACAGGGGTTAACTGTAAAAGGGAAAAGGGGAAGAGATAGACGATAGCACTGAAAATGTGCCTCAGCCCTCTCTGGCCTAATCGTTCGTAATTCGGTGATTTTTTTTGATATGCTATGTAGTAATTCAAGTACAAAATTGCTTGACAGCAATTTCGTAACTTCATTGAGGTGGAACCTCAGGCCTTCTGTCTAAATGGCAATGTGAGCAGTCAAATTAGTTTTTCTCTATTCGAACATAAGGTACATAACATTAGCACACAAACATGAAAAAAAAATTTTGTGAAGAGCGATAACTTTCTACACTCTGCCCCTATTACGGAAGCTTTTTTTCAGGACATTAGGTCGGTCCGAAAGTCCTGTCGTTTCATTTTCAAATATTCGTAATCTCTCGCTATGTGAACAAATTTGCTCTGCTCTAATCTTTTCAAAAACAGGAAAGCCTCTACTTTGGAATACTGTCTCAACGAGCTCTTTCCGAACACCTGCTGCAGAGATAAACTTGTACCTGGCCAAGGCCTGAGGTTCCACCTCAACGAAGTTACGAAATTGCTGTCAAAGCAATTCTGTACTTGAATTACTACATAGCATATCAAAAAAAAATCACCGAATTACGAACGATTAGACCAGAAAGGGCTGAGGCACATTTTCAATGCTAACTCTATCTCTTCCCCTTTTCCCTTTTACAGTTAATTCCTGTCTAAAGAAGATCAATCAAGCTTCGATCATTCAATGTTAGGCTGCCGAAACTGATTATATTGTTATTTTTCTTAAGAAACTTATCTTCTCGTAGAAACGCCCA